GAGGGCCGGTGTGCGATGTGTCCGATGATGACAGTCATCACAGCAGTCAGGGCGGTCTTTGTGTGAATCAGCCTTGAAGGTGACTGGCCAGACCAGGCTAGATAGGCACTTGTGCATGCGCACTTGCTAGCAGCTGCGGAAGGCAAGCGTTCGAGCGGATTGGGGCTTTCCCAGACGCAGACCGAGTAATCCAATCACGTGACCCCATGTGTGGCGTGGCATGCGAGGCAGAAAACGCTACATGATCCCTACACGTTCGCGTACACGATTTTAGGCTTTGAGTGGACCCTGACATCATATGAGATATATGGCTGGTTTTTCAGGACTTGAATCCTACCAGCTTGTGCGCACAAGATGCAGGAGTAAGGGACAAAATTGTCCAGTGTCTTTCGGAAGCAAAAATGATTTAGGTTTCTCGCTTGCTTTTTGGAGTTTTTCAAGCTTTTCGCTCCACATCGCAACTCTTTTACGGTGAAAGGTTTGTATATCTTGATTTCTGTACTTTGATGGAGACCGTAACACTTCCAAACAGATGCCTGCGTGCGTGATAACCGCACGATAGTAAAAAAAGTTAAGCCACTTGCAATTTTTTACCGATCTAAACATGTAGGTGAAAAGAATGCGGAAATGACAAAAAGACTGAAAAGGAGTTCTATAGACCAGGACGACTATTACATGATTCCTATTGGTTAGCATAACCAAAATGGTGTTTGGATAGACGGAAATTCGCCCCATTGAACATTTTCAAGTAGTTTTTATTAAATTATTAATAACTTCTCTCAGACGGCTTTACGAAGTATCCCTACTAGCGTTTCCACCGTCAGTTCAAGGCTGCCGTGTTTCCCACGGGAGTAAAAGGAAACTGGTCAGACAACCTGCTCCCCTTAAACTCCTCAGCATTAGCTTGGTAATAAAGTCGGATTTTTATCGCAGTGCGGCCGAGTTGGTGTTTGGCACTACGCTCCGACTACCAGGCGAGACGGTCACTCCAGCCTTCTGTGGTGCTGCTGACAACCCCACC